GGAATTAAATGCATGTTTGAGACTATTCTAAATAAATGTCTAAAGAGATTCTTGTGAATAGTTTTGGCTTAACGAGATCACAGATTAAGAAGGACAAAGAAGTAAAATACACTGTTTATCACTGACAAAACGTAATCAAAGAAGGACAAAGTTGGTTTGGGCCTTTATTGCAAAATGCCTCGTCAAACTTTAGCAAGGACAGCTTTCCTATGAATGACAGATCGAAAAGAGAGATCTGGACGTCCAAAGGAAATCTGGAGAAGCATAGCAGAAAAGAAAATTAAGGAATGCAAACTGACATGTGATATCATAGACAGAAAAGCAACAGACCTGCATCAATGGAGTTCTACTCAGAATGCTGTATATTGTTAACAGCAAAATGAAAAGAAGACACGACGGACAGACATAAATACGACAGACAAACTGTTATTGTAAAGGTACGTTAAATATCACCTGTCCTCTTTTAAACTTACAGTTAGGGAGGAATTCATAGATCGATCCTGGGACCTGAGAGGTATCTCCCAGTCAGTCATCGAGTCACACGACTGGCTTTTAACCTTAAAGGGAAAGCCATCATTTGGAGAAGACGGCGTTATGCTGACTAGAATCGATCAAGATCTTGAGGTTCGTACATTGCGACTGCAGTATAAGATATTTTGTAGACACATTTGTATGCGACTGCACAAACTATGTTCTTAAAATAATACATATTTCAGAGTTACTTGGGTATTTTTGTCACATCGCCATAACATCTCAAATACTAAAAAGTACCATAATCATTATCATCTCCATTGTGGAAAGGGAAGGAGAAGAGTAAAAGGGAAGAAGAGGTGGAGAGCTTGATAGCAGAAGTAGAAGTGACGGGGTTGAGAGAAAAGACGAAGTAGAAAAGAGGAAGAAGACAGCTGAAGAAGGTGGCGAGGGCGAAGAAGAACTTGTAGTAGTTACCTGTAACTTTTTTTTTTTTTTTTTTTTTTAACCTGAAGAGTTGCTCTCTAATTGGCTAAGGCGGAAACAAAGAAACATATAGGCAACTCATTTTCTTCTTCTTCGCGTTCATCAGTGGAAAGTTCTAGGCATTCGTCCATGTCTGCATTTTAGTCCTGTTCCAGATTTAGAATTTTGCCTACACATAAGTATTACTGGCATATTTCATTAGACATCATACTTCGCCAAACATACAGAGAGATAGACTGCAATTATACATACAAACGGACAGACAGACCGACAGGCTAAAGGACAATCAGACAGACAGGCGGACGGTTAGACAGACAAAAAGACAAGTAGACAGACACAGAGACAGACAAACAATCAAACAGACAAACCCACATTTATACACACAAACAGGCAGACATTTAGATATACACACAGAAGAAGAGGAATCGTATAATTAGCAGTATGAGAGGTGCTTCGTCCTTCAGCACCTCTGCCTAAGATGCCCCGTTAAGTCTGTATGATGAATCTGAAAAATATTTTCGTGTAGGCTAGAAACATGCTAAAGTTAGTTATCTCAAATTGTGGTTGTATATTATTTAAAAGTGTCAGCAGGAAGTGAATGTTTTTTATATAACTTTCCGAAACAATAATGTGCACATTTTCTGTGATCACAGGTCAACACTATAAATGAACGCCCTAAACAGATCTCTAGCAAAAGAAACACAAACTGTGCTAGCTGGTTTGACATCCGATACGTGGTTCTTTGGGTGACTAAGATGTCAATGTGATCGACACATGCGATCACCCAGTACTTAGCTGTGTAGCACATTGGTTCTAATTTCTAGTAGAATGTAACATTTAATTTTCTCAAAATTCTTCCCAAGATTTTTGTTTTGCATTAAGCACTCAATTATTTGGGCCTCTGTCCTAAGTGTGTACATGTTATTTTTATTTCAATGTTTCCTTAGCTGCGTTCCTAGCTGCCAGGTGTTGCTTCCAAACCGTATTTTTTGTTTCTCTTTTTTTTTATTTGACATCTTCCGTCCACTACTGTGTTCAATGTCCCTTTCTTTAACGTCGGAATTCACCACATGATTTTACTGCAGCTGCTGTGAGAATATTCGTGAATCTGCACCAGAGGGTTGTCGTGTCCTCTGGCGGTTCTTCTTCATTTTCTATTGCTTTCGCTATAAGTTCCTGGTATCCAGCCTTTATCACTGGCTTTCCTAACACAAACTGTTTTAGCTGGTTTGACATCTGAAACCTGGCTCTTTGGGTGACTGAGGTGTCACTACGATCGAAAACCGCGATAACTCAGTCGTTACCTGGGTAGCACATAGGTCCGATTTTCCAGTAGAGTTGAACATTGACTACTGGTCCGGAAGCAGCACCATGGGATTGAGCAGCCGTCGGCTTGATGTTGTCCGCATAACTTATGGAGTGTCAATTAGTTTATAACATATGATACTCACACCAGAAGCCAAATGCACCAAACAGTAGGAGGAGTTTCTTTAATATTTCGTGATCTGTGCAGTCACCTGATTCATTTAAGATCAGAGGCGCCAGATCCTGGAAACTTTTACCTGGGAGTAACCTTGAGCCCTCCTCCTTTTTCAGGTGTGTGTGTGGGGGAGGGGTGTTTCAGCGCCCCCCCCCCCCAAACAGACACACGTATATACACCGAAATTTATGAGAGAGCGAGCTTCCTTTTTCCTTAGCATGCATTTAAGTTTTCGTTTACAAATATTAATTTTAAATATATTATTATATTTACGTCCCATTCAGACGGATATTATTATTATTATTATTACTATTATTATTATTATTATTATTATTATTATTATTATTATTATTATTATTATTGTTATTATTATTATTAATGTGTATATTATTATGGACAATTAAGGGGTTGAGCACCACCTAATGTCCAGGGAGGTGTGTCTTCTGTCAGTACTCCTGCCTGAAATGTCCCGTTTAGTGAGTAGTAAGTATATGTCAGTCAGCTCATCTCTTCTAGAATATTTAAAAAAAACAATAACTTGAAGCGTGAGGTTCAACAGTGCAGAGACTGAGTTGGATCATAACGGTCTGAGGAGAACGCTGCGAGGAGTGTCCAGGGGATCTGGCTGACGATCAACAGTCATCGAAAAGGTGAGAAGGATATACAGTCAGACTTTTTACGGGTAGCATAGGAAAGAAAACTCTGTACTTGCTGCTGAAGATGGGGACGGAACGCTTATGGAGGTGTCACAAGTGCTGTGATGTCCATTCCTGAGTGGTCACTACGTGGCATTTTTTTCAATTTATGACAAAGAAAAAAACTGAAATTTTCAATGAGTTTGTTTTTGGAAAGTTCGTCATTCGTAGAATAGATTACACACACAACATATGTCATTTGTAAATAATTTGGCATTAAAAAAAAAAGTTAATACTAAAGACACCACCCCGTGTATTTTTCTTTCAGACAAATTAAATTTTGTACCACGAAATAGCAATGTTTGACACAAAGCAACAGCTGTTTTCAAATACTGTAATATGGAATATTTTATATCATTGCAAAGGGTGTTTGAGACTTTTTTGTATTTCTATATTAAACATAAGTTTAGCTTTCATAATCTAAAAATAGTTATGGTAAAATTATATGATCTGTATGCTTTAGTCGCAGTTCCAATCGGGTCACTCAATAATGTCTCCATCCTCATGCCAGCGAAAACCATAAAAAATACCTAGCACTGACCCACCTTAAAAGTTCAACAGACAACAGACTTGGAAAAGCTAACAGCTTGCATCTGCATTAAACGCATACGGCTAAAAACCTGTAGTGTCAACGGACTTTCCAGTATAATGAATAGGCTGGCCGTCGGCTAAAGCACTAGAGTGATCTGCTCCAGCATTTTCATCACATGGGGAGTTGAGGTACATGGTTCGTCGCATGTTGCTGAGTTTAGTATATGGTGAGACACTGTGAGCTGTGAATGTATACGTTTCTACCTATCTTTAGCTCGTTTGTACTTGTATTATTTTCCATTTTCCTTTCACGTTGTAGATTTCAAATTTGAGCAACTCCTGTCTGACAAACCCGACCGTATGTAAAGATGGACTCACCTTTAAGATCAGCATAAAACTGTCATCCCTGGAGGAGGACTCCATTATATTTACAAGCGGGGGCGAGAACAAAAATCACCCTGGAGTTACTCTCCTTTACAGGTTATTCATTGTTTTTTTCTACTTAATCAGAAAGAGTGATTGAAATGAACAGATATCTGTATTTAGGCTTTATTGATTACACTATTGTTTCTTATCGGTTGAGACGAGAAAGAGTATTCTTAAAAGCTATATAGATCTTTTTTTTAAAAATATATATACGGATGTAAATAATGGAAAGTTGGTAGATTTGTGAAAAATTATTTGAAAGCTACGATATGGTTTTATAGACGAATGATTAAAATACCCTTTTAACACTCCAAAAACATGGATAAACTGGTCCTAACACCAGACCCTAGAGAGTGCTGCAACCTATGTCACATGCATTCTCTTTCTCGGAATTAAAACGTAAATGCAAGCCATCACAGAAAACAAATAACAGAGCAGGGACACATCCGTAACCTTCAGGAAAGTTGAAGAGCCCAAAAAACTTGTGAATGAAAAGTGACCTACTCTTTTTGTGCAGATTAATGTAAACCTAACCGAGAAGTTGGTGGTTTGAGGGCACACGAGGCAGGTTGGTATATGTTACCAGCAGTGCGCAGACAAAAAGCTCAAGGTAACACTACAAGGGTTAAAATAAAAGGAAGAATACTTGGAGTGGTTTGATATTCCGGTCAACAATGGCGGCTAACGGTTATGAGTATTTGTAACCGCTTTATTTTCACGTTGGCGGATGAAGCGTGGGGTAGACGGCTTACCTTTGTAATACTATACACACCGGGCAGGTAGCACTCGCCAGTAAGGGACAGCAATCCATCTACGTAAGCTCATCCTAACAGAAAAAACCCTGCGTAAGTCAGAAGTGAAAGTCCTAAAGGTGCAGATTTACCAGAAAAGTTGCTTGTAGATAAATTTTTATGCGACTATACAAATTATGGTTCTTAAAAAAAAAAAAATACATATTCAGAGTTACTGTGGTATTTTTGTCACATCGCCATAACATCTCACTTACTAAATTCTACCATAATCATTATCATCTCCAATGTGGAAAGGGAAGGAGAAGTGTAAAAGGAAAGAAGATTGCTGAATATAAAAGTGACGGGCTTGAGAGAAAAGACGAAAAAGAAAATAGGAAAAAGACAAGTGGAGAAGACTAAAGAAGAAGAGACATCAACTGAAGAAAGCGACGAGAGAGAAGAACTTGTAGTAGTTACCTATTACTTTTGCTGAACCTGAAAAAACTACCTCACCACAGTCCTCGCTGCTGTTGATTACAGAATGAGCCGTTTCTCCATAACTTATGTTAAACAGCTTTTTATATTTTGTTCCAGGTATGGTCAATTCCACGCAATAGTCAGCACGGAAAGCTACTCATGGTTTGTATCCGTGTCCCGGGAAACCATTCTGACCAACCATTTCTGTGATATTTTACTGTCCTGGAGCCAGCACAGATCTCTAAAGTTTTTTGTCAACCAGGTATATAGTGATTGTCCAGTTACGTTTCCATTTCCAACAGATTTAATCTATAAATCAACTTCACTCGTTTCTCATGTGAAGTTTTAACGATTCTCTTTGAGTCTGTTTCTGGGTTAAAATAATGTCACATTCTACATGCACCTTTTTTTTTTTTTTAAATCTAAGAAAACTGATTTAAAAAAAAAAATTCGCTTTACATGCCTCCAGGATAATGACTAAAATTATATTTTGCATTTATATCTTCTTTTTCTTCTTCCTTGTTCACCGACTGTAAGGTTCGGCTGACAGTTCTGGTCGTTCGTTCAATTGTATTTGACTTTTTTTTGCCAGGACCTGAGCTTTACGTGTGTATCCGTTTATTGGCTGTTTTATGTACAGTTGGTTTGTTTCTTGCCGCTCGGGCAGACGCACTTGGACTTCAAGGAAAGTTTCCAATTAATTGACTCCTACGACAAGCTTAGGGAGGCAGTAGGTCTATTCTTGTTTCTCCCACAGTGAACTCTCAGATCCCACACGGGGAGCATTTATTATATCTGACGTAGTGGAACCAGTGAAGTCTTAATTTAAATAATCATCACACATTTGACAGTACAATTTCTATACTGAGGAACTTTCTTTAACTGGGTGTTAATACTCAAATTTGGTTATTGTTATGTTTTGTAACATAAACATATCGTGTCGGCAGGAAAGTTTAAGGAAAGGAAAATGTAGAGGTGGACCGTGAGAACAGATGCTGGACAGTTTGACATCATAGCATGGGAGATTACCTATGTCAGAAGTGAATGAATGCGCACGAGTGACGCGTGCGGTCGGGGGATGCCCCTACGCTAGCCAAGTTTGTAGGAGATTATTTGTATATACAATGTCTGTCCTCCATACTTACACACTGGATTCTTCCTACCCACTTACTATGCCGCCCACCAAAAGCGCCCCAATATATAGGCACATGTAACAGCTTGAAACACGTCCTCTCGTAACCATCAACATTGTCTACGAGTACAGTAACACAACACATCACGCCAGGTATGATCTTATAGTGCCATGAGTCTCCTTATTGTGAACGAATACATTGTGACGAAGATGAGTGTTGATCTATGGCACACTTTAAAGTTTTCTACTGGGCGGATAATATGAGGAGTCAGAGATTTGGTGAAAACGATATTGTACTCTAACTGCCTTATCTGAGAATCTAAAATTGCTGATTTCTCGATTTCAGGTTCTTGTTGGCGAATCAGCAACCCCAATTTATCATCCTAACACAACGTTGCCACATCTTCTTGTAGATAGGATAACTATTGGTAATGGAATTATAGGAAGCGTCATCAGTGAGATTCATATCTGGCATTCTCACCTTGACCGTTTGTGCCTGCTTCCTCTAATATCATTTCTTCCATGTAAGTATACTTAATTTTTTGCAAGTACATTATACCTACTAATGTAAATAACTACTTTTTTCCCTTTGATTGTGTGTTTTATTAATATTCTCAAAAATATATTCTGTTGTCTGCTAGACACATAAAGACGTTATATATATATATATATATATATATATATACATATGAAACATACAAAAGAAACGATAATTAAAAGATGTAAGGACATGGGTTATAGTACGTGAAGCACGGATCAAGGTCATTATGGACATACACAGCACACAATTTGGAGAAAACAGTAAAATAGGACAGCAGCGTTAACAAGGCAACTACGTTAAGCATGATCAAGGAGATAGCCGCTGCTTCTAGAGCACCAGCGTGGGTAGCAGAACAAACAGCCACATATGCAGTAATCGTGTCAGACACCATACCATGCGTCAGTGAATAGCAACAGGCAGTGTGCGCTCTGAATTGGCAAAAAGCATTTGAAAATTAACCTCTCTCACCTGGATCTATACATTAGATCATACTGGCGTAAAGGGTTATGAGAGAACGGACTAGCTGGTAAGCAACACAGCATCGCATATGGGAAGAAGCATGGACAGAACAGAAATCATATCAGCGTTCTACGAACTTCGCTATTGGATAAGGATGAATCTCTGACAATAATACGATTGCGTTGATAAGGGAAAAGCATGGTGGAGCACGTCTATGCCGCCTTCAAAGCCGAGATAGGAGACATTATAACCAACCTCTCATGGGAACAATCAGTAGAAGTACTATAGACTGCCTGCTGCATTGGAGGATTGCGCAGGCATAGGAATGCACAATGTGCAGTATTGTCGATTGTGATAACATAAGGTAGCATTACATTTTTAAACATTAGATACCTATCCTTCACAGGACGTTGCAGAATCAGCATTAGCATATTTTGTGCGTGGGTGCTTTTTGTGAAGTCACAATGCAATGTTACGTTCACTAATGTGACATTACGTAATGGACGGTCAGCTCTCGATACCACTGTTGAAGCCAACACAAGGCAGTCTGCTGCCAAATAGTCTGCAGATAGGATTGAACCCAACACCTCGGTATTACGCAGCGCGTTGGCAACGCCCAGGTCACCGACGACGACTACTGTGTGTACAAGAAACGAAAAAAAAATCTCCGCTTTGAATTGTATCTGGCCTAATAATATGAAAATGCTATATTTAAATGTTACACATTAAGTTCTATAGTAGCAGATGGTCAAAGAAGAAGATACGCGACTGCATCCCTGAAAAATTTTAGTCATATGAAAGTGGGGCTTGGGGGGAAGGCGGCAGAAGAGCTGGCGAGAGACGACACAAGTGGATTTTTTGCTTTTTTTTTTTTTTTTTTTTAGGCAGGCCGTGATGAGAGCGACGTTCTGCAAAGGACCTGCGACATGATGATGAGTAGCAGCAGGTCCTAAAGTTGATTTCAAACCTATTTTTATAACAACAGGTAGCAGACCAACAACAACAACATCTCCGACCACTGCACAGTCAAAAACAACAACGACAGCACGACGCACTTCAGAAACCAATCCAGAATCAACACCATTTACAGAGTCAACTACTGAAGAAGAATACTATGATGAATGTCCTGCTGGGTGTATTCGATCAGGTGAGTTCTTGCTTCATCATTTGTATTTTTCGTTGGCACTAGAGCGGTGCAACTACTAGGGCGACCCGTTTACAATGAGAATGAAACTGAGAATATCAGATTGCCAGGCGCAGGCAGCAAGAAAATGAAGGTATGGAGGCGCACAATGGACTCCATCCTACTTAAATGTGTAAATAACTAAAAAAAAAAAAAAAACAATAAAGTACTGAATGGATATATATTATGTATGTACGTGCGTGCGTGCGTGCATGTATGTATGTATGTATGTATGTATGTATGTATGTATGTATGTATGTATGTATGTATGTATGTATGTATGTATGTATGTATGTATGTATGTATGTATGTATGTATGTATGTATGTATGTATGTATGTATGTATGTATGTATGTATGTATGTATGTATGTATGTATGTATGTATGTATGTATGTATGTATGTATGTATGTATGTATGTATGTATGTATGTATGTATGTATGTATGTATGTATGTATGTGTGTCTGTATGTATGTATGTATGTCTGTATGTATGTATGTATGTATGTCTGTCTGTATGTATGTATGTCTGTCTGTCTGTCTGTCTGTCTGTCTGTCTGTCTGTCTGTCTGTCTGTCTGTCTGTCTGTCTGTCTGTCTGTCTGTCTGTCTGTCTGTCTGTCTGTCTGTCTGTCTGTCTGTCTGTATGTATGTCTGTATGTATGTATGTATGTATGTATGTATGTATGTATGTATGTATGTGTGTCTGTGTGTATGTATGTATGTATGTATGTATGTATGTATGTATGTATGTATGTATGTATGTATGTATGTATGTATGTATGTATGTATGTATGTATGTATGTATGTATGTATGTATATGTGTGTGTATGTGTGTATGTGTGTATGTGTGTATGTGTGTGTATGTGTGTGTATGTGTGTATGTGTGTATGTGTGTATGTGCGTGCGTGTGTGCATGTGTGTATGTGTGTATGTGTGTATGTGTGTATGTGTGTATGTGTGTATGTATGTATGTGTGTATGTATGTATGTATGTATGTATGTATGTATGTATGTATGTATGTATGTATGTATGTATGTATGTATGTATGTATGTATGTATGTATGTATGTATGTATGTATGTATGTATGTATGTATGTATGTATGTATGTATGTATGTATGTATGTATGTATGTATGTATGTATGTATGTATGTATGTATGTATGTGTATGTGTGTGTGTGTATGTATGTATGTATGTATGTATGTATGTGTGTGTGTATGTATGTATGTATGTATGTATGTATGTATGTATGTATGTATGTATGTATGTATGTATGTATGTATGTATGTATGTATGTATGTATGTATGTATGTATGTATGTATGTATGTATGTATGTATGTATGTATGTATGTATGTATGTATGTATGTATGTATGTATGTATGTATGTATGTATGTATGTATGTATGTATGTATGTATGTATGTATGTATGTATGTATGTATGTATGTATGTGTGTGTGTGTGTGTGTGTGTGTGTGTGTGCGTGCGTGCGTGCGTGCGTGCGTATGTATGTATGTATGTATGTATGTATGTATGTATGTATGTATGTATGTATGTATGTATGTATGTATGTATGTATGTATGTATGTATGTATGTATGTATGTATGTATGT